GGTTGAGGCCCCATCCCTGGAGGTGTTCAAAAGCCGGGTTGATGTAGTGCTGGGAGGTCTGGTTTAGTGATGATGCTCCTTGTTTGTTGTGTGGGTGTCTATTTTTGTCAAAGTTAGGTTGAGGGTTGGACAAGATGATCTTTAAGGTCCCTTCCAACCTAGAAGATTCTGTGATTCTGTGAAATTCAATTCAAAGAACACTGCCTTATTGCTGGTTTCTCTCCTGTGTGTCTTGGGCAGAGTGGGCTGAGCAGCTGACCCACTCAAAGAACGCTGCCTTATTGCTGGTTTCTCTCCTCTCCTCTTGGGCAGAGTGGGCTGAGCAGCTGACCCAGATGGGCAGAGGGAAACACTTCATTGGAGACTTTCTTCCGCCTGACGAGCTGGAGAAGTTCATGGAGACGTTCAAGGCGCTGAAGGTGAAACAGCAGAGACTTCCCAGGGTGGTGGCATTGTCACACTTGTCCCATAGCAGGGAGGGAAAGATCTTGAGCATCCCGAGCCCATTTTTCACAGCATTAGCTGCCTTGCAGCCTGAGCTTCCCCTGCCCTTCCCCTGGGGGCTCTGTTACTTCTGGAGGAAACAAGGGGGTTAGTTTTTTTGCTCTTTGCAAAGAAACAAATTAAAGAACAGACTTTTGGGGTAATATTTGGGGGTTAGCTGAATTTCCAGACGGGCCTCTCTCCCTGCCCAGCATCTGTCTGCTCTTCCTGTTTCGAGTAAGTGGTTGCAAGGAAAATCTGAATTTTTATCCAGATGATTGCAGTGAAGCAAGAATATAAAAGCCTTCAAAAAAGCTTATGCAAAGCACTTCAATACCTGCCAATTCTCCCTAAACTGCAGAACCTCTTCATGCTGGCACGTCCTTCATCGTGTTTTCGTGTAGCCAGCGTGGGGTCTGACGTTCCCTGGAGATCCTGGCTTAAATAAGAACTGGATCTGAGGCTGCATCCAGTGAGCAACTTGAAATTCAGGAGCTAAATATTTCTCAGCTTAATCTCGCTGTAGCATTCCCTGCTTCTTGCAGATTATGTTGTAGGGCTCTGCAGTGCTTTATCACTTACCCATTTTCTTCTCTGTGCCGTTGTAGAGCTGGAATCCCAAGGAATGCTGATAGTTATTAATTGTTTGCCAGAGCCATCCTAACTCTGAGTAGCTGAAGCTGCTTTTCCCCTCCTCTGACCCCCCAAAAATAGGTGCATATAAAAAAAAATAACCCGTGCTGCCTTTTGTGTCTCTGCAGGAAGGACGTGAGCCAGATTATTCCGAATACAAGGAGTTCAAACTGACTGTGGAAAACATAGGTTATCAAATGCTAATGAAGATGGGCTGGAAGGAAGGCGACTGGTGATAGTTATTAATTGTTTGCCAGAGCCATCCTAACTCTGAGTAGCTGAAGCTGCTTTTCCCCTCCTCTGACCCCCCAAAAATAGGTGCATATAAAAAAAAATAACCCGTGCTGCCTTTTGTGTCTCTGCAGGAAGGACGTGAGCCAGATTATTCCGAATACAAGGAGTTCAAACTGACTGTGGAAAACATAGGTTATCAAATGCTAATGAAGATGGGCTGGAAGGAAGGCGAGGGGCTCGGCTCGGACGGGCAGGGGATTAAAAACCCCGTCAGCAAGTAAGCAGAGTTCTCCTGCTATTGATTTAGTCCTTTCCTCTTGGGCTGGTAATCGATGCTCCTGCCCCAGCCCCCTGGAAGCAGCTGCAGTGAATGTGGCTGTAATTCATCACTCAAACAGAATATGGAATCCTCCCAGCAAAGGAGAAAAATGGTTTCTGATTTTCTTTGGGGTTCCCTCCCCCCCCAAGGCCCGGGGTTGTTCCTTTAACTCAGGCTGGAGGTGTGAGCCTGAGCCAAGAGGATTTTGTTTCTAATCCCTGTTTGTGTAGTCTGCTCTTCCCAGAGGTGCCTTCTCCCCAGTTTCCCCATCTGTAAAATGAAGAGACTGGTCTGCACCTCACTTCTCCCAGGCCATGTGAGGATTAAGCCATGTTTTTAAAGTCACAAATTTATTAAAGAACATGCCTTTTGCCCTGGTGCTGGTGAAAGGCCATCACAGCATTGCTGCTGCCAAACCTGTGTCCCAGAGGTGTTTCAGTCCAGGTCAGAGCTTTGGGGAGGATCATGCAACTCTCTTGACCTCACCCTTTTGCACAGAAGTTTTCTGATTTGATCACACTTGGTATATAATAAAGCTTTATGAACGTTCTCTCCCAAAATAGATGAGCATCTCTCTTTAGGTGGATCATCTGTTGGTAACATATGCTGAACTTCAAACCCAAATATTGGGGATAGGAAATACTCCGAGTTGGTTTTTTTAGTGTTAGATCCTTTTAGAAATATCAGTTGTTTGTTTACTACGCGATAGAAAGTGTCTCTGGAGAGCACTTCTGCTCCTCTTTCGCAAGAAGATCTCTCTGGCAACGTGTTTATTGGTTCAGAGAGGTTCTGTGATAACAGGTCGCTGTGATCAGAGCAGCCAGAGTTACAGGCAGTGGTGGGAAGGTGGTTCCTGCCCATCTCAGGGTTTTCACTGAATTTCTAGAGTTGGAAGGGACCATAGAGATCATCTAGTCCAACTCCCCTGCTGAAGCAGGATTGCCTAGAGCTAGAGCATGTTACTCAGGAGCATCCAGGTGGGTCTTGAAAATCTCCAAGGAAGGGGACTCCACACCCTCCCTGGGCAGCCTGTTCCAGGGCTCTGCCACCTTCACCGTGAAGAAGTTTCTCCTCAGATTTGAGTGGAACCTCTTATGTTCCCACTTGTGCCCATTGCCCCTCGTCCTCTCACTGGGAACCACTGAAAAGAGTCTGGCTCCCTCCTCCTTCAACCCTCCCTTGAGATACTTGTAGGCATTGAGAAGGTCTCCCCTCAGCCTTCTCTTCTCCAGACTAAAGAGTCCCAGCTCTCTCAGTCTCTCCTCATAAGGGAGATGCTCCAATCCTTGAATCATCTTTGTTGCCCTTCGCTGGACTCTTTCTAGTAGTTGAAAGGGCTGTTGAACAAGGGCTGTGATTTGCTTGGGCTCTGCCATCTCTGATGTTCTCCAAACGGGGGAGAAGGTGCTGCTGCAGAGGGAAAGGAATTGCTTCTGCTTCTGGACCGTTGTGGAGCAGAGGAACAGGAGACAGGCTCGTTTTAGTGCTTTTACCTCCAACCAGTGCGGCGCAAATCAACACATTTGGTTGCCAGGGGTTGGTTTGAGCCAGTCAGACACTGCAGCAGGGAGGCTCCAGAGCACAGATGGTATTTCTGGTCCCGCTGTAAAAGGTTAAGCAAATAGATGTTGACACAACTGCTTCCATCCAACACCACCCGGCCTCGCTCGTTTGGAAGGGCAGTGTAGAAATGTGGCAGATTCAATAAGCTGCTGGGTATTAGCTGTCTGTCTCCACGAGGGATGCCCAGTGCCACCAGTGCCTGTTCCCTGAGCTCTGAGGAGGTATTTGTGAGGAAGAGGAGGGTGACGTGTCCTCAAGTATTGTGTCCAGTTTTGGGCACCTCAATACAAGAGAGATCTGGAGGTGCTGGAGCGCGTGCAGAGGAGGGCAACGAAGCTGGGGAGGGGGCTGGAGAATAAAATCTTATGAAGAGTGATTGAAGGAGCTGGGGCTGTTTAGTATGAGGAAGAGGAGGCTGAGGAGAGACCTCATCACTCTCTACAACTTCATGAAAGGACACTGTAGAGAGGTTGGTGCTGGTCTCTTCTCACAGGTAATTAGTGACAGAACGAGAGGGAATGGCTTCAAGCTCCAACAGGGGAGGTTTAGATTGAACATTAGGAAAGAATTTTTCACCCAAAGAGTGGTCGGGCATTGGAACAGGCTGCCCAGGGAGGGGGTGGAGTCCCCATCCCTGGCTGTGTTTAAGGGCCGTTTAGATGCAGTGCTGAGGGACATGGTGTAGGGGAGGACTTTGTAGAGTAGGGGAGATGGTTGGACTCCATGATCCCAAGGGTCTCTTCCAACCTCAATGATTCTATGATTCTATGACCCCACTCACCTCCCAGCCTTTGTGCCTTCCTCCCACGCAGGGGAACCACAGCTGTGGATGGTGCTGGCTTTGGCATCGACCGCCCGGCCGAGCTGACCAAGGAGGATGATGAGTACGAGGCGTTCCGCAAACGCATGATGCTCGCCTACCGCTTCCGACCAAACCCGCTGGTGAGTGCTCCCAACAGCAGAGGGGACACGGTGACAAATCCCACCTCGGTGTCCCTTGGAGGGCTGGGAGCATTTCTAGTGCTTCACCAAGAGAGCAAACACTGAAATTTTCTCTTTGATTCTCTTCTCGCTTCTCCTTCCCAAATTATCGCTGCCAAAACATCCGCCGATGCACAGTTTTCCTGGCTGTGATTTTTTTTTAATACAAACCCCCTCCCTGTTTTTAATTTTATCTGGTACATACAAAGTATAAACTCTGCACGCAGAGGAAGTGGATGGGTTGTCTGTGAATCCACGGTTTATTTAGAATAACTTTTCCTGGTGGCAAAAAATGTAAGTTTGCATTTGCCTGGGTTGCGTTCAGCGCACCCCAAAAGCTGCATTTGTCATTGCTGCTGGGAGACCTCAGGTTTCACTGTCAAAAATGTCATGTTTCGGTGGCTTTTTCAGATAATTAAGCTCAGATGCTCGTTGTTCTGCCAAGACAGCAATTTTGATTAATTTTTCTCTTGTTATTCCCCCACAGAACAATCCACGACGACCTTACTACTGAGAATGTATTATTATTTTTTGGGGGGGGACGATGTGTTTTCAAACCAATTGTAACTTGACTGTGAGATGTTACGGAACTGCATTATCATTCTCTTATTTGCTGATATTGTCAAACTTAAGGGAAGTGACGATGACCGTCGTTCACCCAGAAGAAAGGCCTGGGAGGGAGCCTGTTCCATCCTGTGCTCTGGTGTCATGACAACAGTGTGGTGACAGGGCTTGGGTGACGTTGGGAGAGGTGAGAGCACCAAAGGGAGCACCAAAGACACCGGTGGGAACAGTTCAGAGACTCTATTCTCATTTAGCTTGGTGCCATGTCACAAGAAATGCATTTTTTTAAATTTTTTTTTCTTAGCCTGATGGCAAATCCTCTGTCATTGAGACCCGCAGCTCGTGCTGCTCTTGGGGGAGTTTATTCTGTTTATTTGGAGGGAGCCTGTTCCATCGTGCACTCTGGTGTCATGACAACCGTGTGGTGCCAAGGCCTGGGTGATGTTGGGAGAGGTGAGAGCACCAAAGGGAGCACCAAAGACACCGGTGGGAACAGTTCAGAGACTCTATTCTCATTTAGCTTGGTGCCATGTCACAAGAAATGCATTTTTTTAAATTTTTTTTTCTTAGCCTGATGGCAAATCCTCTGTCATTGAGACCCGCAGCTCGTGCTGCTCTTGGGGGAGTTTATTCTGTTTATTTAGTTTTTATTTTTAATTGCAAATACAGCAAGGGACTGTCTCTGACCCAGCCGTTGGGGCTGTTTTTCGGTCGAGCTGTTTTTTTTCCTTGAAGAAGTGGGTTCTGATGCTGTGGTGAGGCCGGAGTTACAGTCTGACCTTCAAGTGACATTGCAAAACCAGCTCCTGGTGCTTTTCCCTCTGCCCTGAGGAAATGACCTTCAAATGACATTGCAAAACCAGCTCCTGGTGCTTTTCCCTCTGCCCTGAGGAAGAAGAGGTGCAGGTCGGGGTGGAGTGTGGCCACAATGCCCAGGGCAACCTCCTTCAGCTCCAGCCTCTTGGTTTCTTGAACACTAAGTTCTCCCCCAGCTCCCTGGAGACTCGCTCCCACCTCCCATGGTTTTCGGTCGAGCTGTTTTTTTTCCTTGAAGAAGTGGGTTCTGATGCTGTGGTGAGGCCGGAGTTACAAATGACCTTCAAATGACATTGCAAAACCAGCTCCTGGTGCTTTTCCCTCTGCCCTGAGGAAGATGAGGCACAGGTCGGGGTGGAGTGTGGCCACGATGCCCAGGGCAACCTCCTGCAGCTCCAGCCTCTTGGTTTCTTGAACACTAAGTTCTCCCTGAGCTCCCTGGAGACTCGCTCCCACCTCCCATGGCTTGTGGTGATGAAGAGCCAAGCCTTCAAATGCAGTTTCTCAAACTTGGATTTCATTGTCCTAAGAAAAAAAAAAAACCCTCTACAAATCCAAATTTTCTTCATTTGGTCTGTAAATAAAATAAAACTCATTTGTTCCTTAAGTTTTAATCACTGAATTTTGGGGAAGAGCGGTCTCGCTGTGGGTTTTCACAGGTTGAGAGGCTGCTCTACCTCTTCCTTCCTTCCCAGCAGCTCAGAGGACACAGAGTGAGGTTTGGTGGGTTTGGTTTCTTCTGCCTTTGTTTTCCCTCGGTCCCAGTAACTTGGTGTGTGATTCTCTTTTTGTTAACTTTTCTTAACAACGTGGAGTCAAGGATTTGGCTTTCAATAAAAACATTTGAAACGGTAAATTCGGTAAAAGGGGGTTTATTCTGAGAGAGGGGGGGGGCTAAATCCGTGAGCCAGGTGGCTCCTGGGTGCCAGCACATGGTGGCCACTTGCCACGGAAATCATGAAAGATTGGGAAATAATGAGAAGAAATCTGGCAGGGCTTTGCAGGGCCAAGCTTCTGCTCCAGTGGTTAAGGTCACTGTGACAACTGTGCTTTCCTGGTGAGCTGGGGACACTGGTCCCTCGGGGAGGTGACACTGGTCCCAGTTTGTGCCCAGCACAAACCAGAGCTGGTTTTTGTGACTCGCCAGAGACTGGAGCATGGCAGGGCTGTCCCTCTGGGAGGGTTTGCTGTAGGAGCAGGGGTTTGCAGGGAGGCTGCTGGGGAGTGGAGGCATTTTTAGTCTTTTTATCCCAAATGTAAGCTGTGTGACATCCTCAGGGCACTGTCACTGACCCGCTCACAGCGTGGCCCTGGAGTCAGGGTGAGGACAGGCCTCTGCTGGCACTGGTGGGGTCATTAAAGCTAATTGATGCCATGTTGGCAAAAGTTGTTTTATTCCTTTACTTCAAGGCAGGAGCCTGGGTCGTCCCGAGCCCTTTCTCTGGATGATGGTGTTCATCAGGAGGTGCTTTTCTCTGCTCTGTGGTTTTTTTTCTTACGCTGTTTTAAGTCCCTCCCACGCTGTTTTGGGTCAGCCCTGCAGAAACCACTTAGTGCCCTCCACCTCCTTCCCATCATTAGCTCCGAGCTGGGATTTGGCCTCAGGAAAGGGAATCAAAGGGGTGGCTGCTGTGTGTTGGGCCCAGAAGGTCACCAGAGCTGGTGATCAAAGAGTGAACCCCCCGGTGCCCGCCGTGCCGAGGCCGTGCCAGCTGCCCCCGTGGTGTGAGTGCACGGGTGACTGGGCACAAGCACCCGTGGTGAGCATGGCACGGGAGGGCACTGGGAAAACACCTGGATGGGGAGAGACAACGGGGTTGCAGGAGCTGGGAGACCAGATCCATGCTCGTAGGAGATCGGCATTTGGGAAAATCTGATGGTTCTTGCCTCAATTCACCCCAGATTGTCTGATTTATCTGTTTTCACCCCCTTTTTTTTTTTTCCTTACAGGGTGTTAGGCTGCTTTTTGTACCTCTCCCTCTACAAATAGGGCTGGGGGGGTGGTTTCTCAGCCACCAAGTCTTGAGCCCTGGAGACTGAACCCCAACTTTGCTCTCAGGTGCGTTCCCTTCGCCGTAGACTGAACGATCACCCCTTAATGAGCTGAGTCTCGTCACCTCCCTGCTGACGAGGTTCACGGGGTGCCTTCCAGCTCCTCCCACCCCACGGAGGGGATGACGAGCAAACCCTGGGGGCAAAGTGCAGGGTGGCTGGTTCGGCCCCCGGACTCTGAAGCAAGAGGGCAAAAGAGTGACGGTGACACAGCGGGGACGGGTTTGGGAGAAGGGGGAAAGGTTGAGCAGCCACCCTGAGGCTCCACAAAGTTCCATGGAAGTCTCTTAAGTGCATTCCCAAGTTCTGGATGTGCTGGGGCAGGTCTCTCCCCAAGCTGGGGGGAGGCAAAGGCTGGTGTTTGGAGCAGAGAATGTGAGAGGAGGAGCTGGGGGGAGCTCTGGGCTCCCGGTGGAGCGCAGAGACCTTGAAACTCCCTGTTCGCTTCAATTCGTTATTAAAAGGCAGGGCTGAAGTGCTGGCTTTCATGTGCTTCTCTCTTCCTCTTACAGATCTGGAGAGGTACGTCCTCTTGGCTCTTTTAGGTACTTAAGGTTTCTGGAATGAATCAGAAAAGAGAAAAAGCCCAAAACAAAACAGTCCCTCTGCTTTCATAAGCCTCTTCTGGAGTGGTTTTATCCTTCCCCCGCAGCTCTCGGTGCCGTTTCTCAAGGCAGCCCTTGAGCTTGGAGACCAGCACTGACCCACGGGGGTTTGGCTGTTGCCTGGACCCCCCCAGACACCCCCCCAGAACCCCCAGACCTTCCTCCTGGATGGCTCTGGCTCTTTAAGGGCGCTGCCTGTTCTCGGGGGCCAAAGTCCGCGGGGCTGCGGTGGCGGTGGTGGCCGGGCTGGGGATGCAGCTCCCCACCGTGCCGGGCACCCTCGCCCCCTCCCTGCTGGCCATCCCCGTGGCCTTGGGCATCAACGCGGCCACCGCCTTGGCAGAGTAAGTGCGGGACTGGGAGGAAGCTCTGGGGTTGGGTTGGTGCCATCCTGTCCCTCTTGTTGGTCCTGGACGCCGGGGGAGGAATGGTGGGGAGGGAGGATAAACATCCAGCCTGGCCCAGGACAAGGCTGTGATCAAGGAGCCACCCAGGATGGGCCACCAGGTCCCCAGGGAGGTGGTGGAGTCACCATCCCTGGAGGGATTTAAGAAACGTATAGACATGGCTCTTCAGGGCATGCTCTAGTGCCCAAGGTTATTGGTTTGTGGTGAGGTGTTGAGTGTGGGGTTTAGTTGGTGGGTGCGGTGTTTTTGGTGGGTGTTTGGTGTGGTGTGTTTTGTTGGTGTGTGGTTTTTTGTGGGTTTTTTGTGGGTTTTTTTGTGGTTGGACTCGATGATCTCAGAGGTCCCTTCCAACCACTAAGATTCTGTGATTCTGTGATCTGGACCCATGGAGCGGTGTCTGGGGCAGGGTGTCCTGGGACTGGGGTCCAGCCCGGGGCAGGGGGCTCGGTTTGGGGTGCTCCTGCCCCAGCTGAGCCCACAGAAGGGCCACTGGGGGTTGGGACGTGGCCGAGGTGACTCGTGGCTGCCTTTATGCCTTTTGAATCCCACCATCACTGAGCAAATGTTCAGTGGGGCTGCTCAGACCCAACGTGGGGTGGTAACGGGGCTCCCTGACACCCCAAATCCCCCAGGAATTGGGGTGCTCAGCACCCCCCTGATTTATGAGCATCCTCTGCCCGGTCCCAGCGCAGCCCCCGGCCAGAGGGACAGGACCAGGACACTGGGTGTCCCCTCTGGTCACAGCCATGCCCTCCCCAGGCTCTAAGGGACCCCTCCAAAGCCCATGTCCCCCTCCCCGAGTGACACCCTCTGGCGTGTCCCAGCGTGGCTGATGTCACCCCTCCACGCTGGCCTCCTCACCCTCACCCTGCCTGATAACAGCCCAGCTTTCAGTTTTACAGCAGTGACACCCCCGGGGTGCCCCAGCCCAGCCTCTCCTATCCCTGGCCATCACCCTGGCCTCGGGGCTTTGCTCCCTGCTGGGGAGGCCAGAGCCCCACGTCTCCTTAGCTCCTTTATTTCTCTTTATTTCCAGCCTCAGGTCCCAGGACCTGCCAGATTTGGGTGTCCTCCCCCCCTGGTTCTTTCCCCCCTTCCCTGATGTCTGTCCCCTCGTTCCTGCCAGGCCTCTTCGCCCTCCTTTTCCCATTCCTTAGACATTCCTTTTTATTTCTTTATTTCTTTTTATAGCTAATTCTTTTTATAGCTAACGCTTTACCGGCGGGAAGCGCTTTTAGCCCCAGTTCTCCTAATGGCAGAGCTGGGGTTTTCCTGGCTGTTTGTTGAGCTTTACTTGAAGTCATCTCCCAATCCTCATTCCCATCTTTTCCATCCCCTCTTTCCCTTCCATACCATGTGGAATTGCATCCCACATCTCCAGGATCCATCACCCTGAAACCCCTCTGTAGCCGTGGGGAGCACTGACACCCCTTAAAGTCCCCAGTGGGGGGACATGGAGGGGGAACATCCCCCTGTTTCTTAATTAGTCACCACCTCAGGACGAGCAGTGGTGGCCACCAAGCCCCTCAGCCTGGCCCGGTGACCTGGTGGCCCCGGTGCCACCACGTGCCAGTGTCTCGAGCCCCATCACACGCCCGGTCACGTCTGGTGGTGACCAGAGGAACCCAACATCATCCAACTCCACGGCAGCACCCGCCTTTGGCTTTTGAATTAATCATTCTGTGGGAGTAATTAGTTGTGTAGTAATTAATTATACACTGGTAATAATGCACTCGGGCGGTGACACTTCCATTATTTGATTGTTTGGAGGTTGGTTGGTTGGGTTTTTTTTTTCGGGAGCGTGTGTTGGTTTTGGATGCTTTGGGCACGTGGTGAGGACAAGCTCTGCCTTTTCTTTGCCTTTGGTGACAGGGTTAGAGGTTTTGGTGAAAAATACCACCATATTTTCCATGTTTCCTAGAAATATTGGCCAGACCAGAGCTGCAGCTCTCCAGGCTGATGGGGAGTGCTTCTTGGGGGGGAAAGCAGCAAGCTCAGGATAGATTTTCCTGTAACTTTTTCCCTCCCTTAAGACGTGTTTTCAGTATCTGCCTCCTCATTAACGATTTGCTTTATAATTGATTTCCCCAGTCTCTTATAACACCGGCCCATCTCCAGGCAGAGGGAGGACCACGCTGGGGCTTCTCACCCTGGAGCCCCTTCCCCATCCATTCCTGGGTGTCAGAGCCAGCCCCCCCCCAGGCTTTCGCAGAATCCCCTTCCCCATCCGTTCCTGGGTGTCAGAGCCAGCCTCCCCCCAGGCTTTGCCCCCCCCCCCGGGGTTATTTCAGACCGTGGAAGAGCTGTTTCCCCCCAAAAAAAACCCCACCCTGTAGGACTCCAACTGTGCTGGGGTGTGGGGTCTGATCCTGCCTCACCCCCTGCTTTGGTGGAGACCGGTCAAAATGGGTGGGGGCAAAGGGTGTTTCAGCTGGACCGGGGGGAAATGGGGGTTCACCCATGGTGTCCCCCCCCCTCCCTCTGCTGCTCGTGGGGTGCCTGAACCCGTCCTGCTGTCCCACAGCAACCCGCTGGCGCTGATGCTGACGGCGGTGCTGGTGCTCGCCGGCCTCATCTCCATCATCTTCTTCGTAAGCGGAGGGAGCCACTTCCAGGACCCCCTTTTCTGCGGTGAGTCCCCCCCTTTTACCCCACCCCGGGGACGTGGGGATTGACCAGGCAGGGAGGGGGAGATGCAGGATTTGGGGAGAGCCATGGGAGCGACTCGGAGCTGGGTCTCTCTCTCTCTCCCCCGCAGTGTTTGTGCTGTTCTCCTTCACCTCCGTCGTCGACTTGATCATCTCTCTGGAGGAGGATGGCTACATCTCTGGCTTCATGGAGGTCTACGTCCGAGAGGTACCACCTCAAACGTCCCCACCTCAGGCTCCCCCACACCCCCAGCCACGCCACGAGCATCCCCGTGTCCCCCAGGGCAAGAGTGGATGCTGCTCCTGCTGTGGAGGGACCATGCAGGGAGCAACCCCAGCTTCCACGGGGTCCCCTGGGGTGGGGAGGTGGGAAGGAGATGGTCCCCACCCCATCTGACCCAAAATCTTCCCACTGGGCAGGGCGAGCCCTACCTGCGCACGGCGCACGGCATCATGATCTGTTACTGGGACGGCATCGTCCACTACGGGCTCTACCTCGCCATGATGGTGGCCATGGGCCAGAGGTGAGCGGGGACGGCGGGGACAAGGTGGCTCCCGGTGGCACCTTCACGGATCGGGAGCTTGGAGGGGCTTGCAGGGGTTGGAGGGTCCCGAATTTTGGTGGGGAGGGGGGAGCTCTGAGCCTGGTGGCAGAGGCATCTGATCCTGATGTCTCCACAGAAAGAGCTACAGGAACCTGGGTCTCTTCTGGCTGGGCTCTCTGATGATGAGCATCATCGTCTTCCTCCTCGGGAACCTGATAGGTAGGGGGGTGTGTGGGGTCATCCAGCCCTTCCTCATCCTCCAACCTGCCCCTGTCCCCCTGTCTGTCCAGTGGTTTTGCTCCCAGGAGCTTGGGGCAGAGGACTGACCTGGGGGCTGGGTAGGGGTCCCGGGTGCTGAGCCCCCCCATTGTGCCTACCCCCTGCTCTCCTTCCCCAGGGAAATACAGCTCCGACCTCAGCCCTTCCTTCCTCCTCAACCTGCCCTACATCCTCATCCCCATCTGGGCTGGGACAAGGCTCTTCCAGCAGCCCAGGGTCCTGCCGTGTCTCAGCCCCGAGAAGGTGAGATGGGAGCTGGGGTGGGGGGTCCTCAGCCTTCTCCCCCTCCCCAGGGCTGGACCACGGGGGGGTGCAGAGCCAAAAAATAATCACAGAATCACAGAATCTTCTAGGTTGGAAGGGACCTTAAAGATCATCTTGTCCAACCGTCAACCTCACTGACAAAAATAGACACCCACACAACAAACAAGGAGCATCATCACTAAACCAGACCTCCCAGCACTACATCAACCCGGCTTTTGAACACCTCCAGGGATGGGGCCTCAACCCCCTCCCTGGGCAGCCCATTCCAAGGGCTGAGAACCCTTTCAGTGAAAAAATTTTTACTAATATCCAGCCTGAACCTCCCCTAATGACCTTTTCCCTCTCCCAGGTTGCAAAGGAGCAAAGCAAGCGCCTCTACCAGCGACCCCAGGACGTGGGGCTGGTCCTGCTCCTGCTCCTCACCGCTGCCTTCACCTTCTTCAGGGGGATGGTGAGTGCTGGGTCCCTGAGTGGGGGTCTCAAAGGGGCCGTGGGGGTCCTGGAGGGGTCATAGGGATCCGAGGGTGGGTTCATCTACCCCACACCCACCTCCCCTCCGCTCTCCCCACCCTCCCCAGGTGGTTTTGGACTGTCCTGCTGATTCCTGCTTCGAGTACATCTACCAGCATGAGCCGTACCTGCGCGACCCCGTCGCCTACCCCAAAGTGCAGGTGAGTGGGGTCATAGAATCATAGAATCATTCAGGTTGGAAGAGACCCTTGGGATCATCGAGTCCAACCATCTCCCCTACTCTACAAAGTCCTCCCCTACACCATGTCCCTCAGCACTGCATCTAAACGGCCCTTCAACACAGCCAGGGATGGGGACTCCACCCCCTCCCTGGGCAGCCTGTTCCAATGCCCGACCACTCTTTGGGTGAAAAATTCCTTCCTAATGTTCAATCTAAACCTCCCCTGTTGGAGCTTGAAGCCGTTCCCTCTCGTTCTGTCACTAATTACCTGTGAGAAGAGACCAGCACCAACCTCTCTACAGTGTCCTTTCACGTAGTTGTAGAGAGTGATGAGGTCTCCCCTCAGCCTCCTCTTCCTCACACTAAACAGCCCCAGCTCCTTCAATCACTCTTCATAAGATTTATTCTCCAGCCCCCTCACCAGTTTCATTGCCCTCCTCTGCCCCCGCTCCAGCACCTCAATATCTCTCTTGGATTGAGGTGCCCAAAACTGGACACAACACTCGAGGTGCTGGGCTGGAACCACCCCCCCCTTGCCGTGCCACCGGGGTGGGGGTGACCTTCTCCACGTGTCCTATCCCTTTTAACCCCCCCCAGATGCTGATCTACACCTTCTACGTCCTCCCCTTCTTCTGCCTCTGCATCTACGGGCTGGTGCTGCCCGGCTGCTCCTGGCTGCCCGACTGGAGCCTGGTGTTTGCCGGCGCCGTGGCGCAGGTGAGGGGCTGCCCCACTGTCCCCCCCCCACCCCACGGCAGGGGAAACGGTGGGATTCCCCCCCCTCAGGGTGGGTTTTGCTCCCAAAGCAAGCAGGGAGCTGGCGTTGAGCTGGGATTTGGGGGACACACACACACACACACACACAGAGATGCGTGGCTGCATGTGGAGCAGTTCCCACCGCCGCTGCCCGATTAATTACTTTGGCCTCGGTGGATCTTAACGAAGCCGGGGATGAGTTTGACAGAAATAGGCTGGAGGGAGACGCAGGGGCTATAGATAGGACACGCCGGGGGGTGCCTCCTGCCAAACAACCCTTGGGAAGACACCCCCTCGCTGCCGGTCCCATGTCACCCCCCCACCCCAACATCCCACCTTCTGCCCCTGTGTCCCCAGGCTCAGTTCTCCCACCTGGGCTCCTCGCTGCACCCCCGCACCCCCTTCCCCTACCAGACCCCCGAAGACGTCTGGTGGAGCTTCCTCCTCACCAACCTCCTCTACGCCCTGGGCCCCCAACTCCTGGCCCTCCGCTGCCTGCGCAGCCCTGCCTTCTTCCTGCCCACC